TTCAGCAATGTTCAATCCTAAAACAACTTGGGGTGATCAATAAAGTGCAGCTCCTTGCCCGCCCGGTGCAGCTCAAAGACGTCAACTCGATTGTTGCCTCGCCTTAAGAGCGGCCCCGGCAGGTACAGGGTCTTCAACGGGCCAATCTCCCAGTANTCTAAAACAACTTGGGATGATCAATAAAGTGCAGCTCCTTGCCCGCCCGGTGCAGCTCAAAGACGTCAACTCGATTGTTGCCTCGCCTTAAGAGCGGCCCCGGCAGGTACAGGGTCTTCAACGGGCCAATCTCCCAGTACCGACCGAGGTTGAAGCCGTTGACGAAGACATTGCCCTTGGTCCATCCGGGCAGCTCAACGAAGGTGTCACCGGGCTCTTCGTGAAGTGACAGGTACAGCAGTGCCGAGTACATTGCCGGAGCGTTTTGATGCTTAAAATTTTCCACTTGGATCCACGGTCCCTCCGGGGCGACCTTCAGCTGCTGAAGACTGTCCACAAAGGAGGAGTTCAGCTCGAGGCTGTAGGTGGTAATGTTCGCCACTGGGCGGCCATCAAGCTTAATCTCGCTGTTGTGCAGCCCCTTCCGCTGCGTCTGCATGAAGATGCCAAAGTTGACACGGCCTTGATTCTCCACCAGCAGGTCAAAGGAGTGTTGTTCTTTACTGTGATCTAGATTTGAGGATGAAATGTTGTAGACGAAAGGCTCCTCCAGAGGTTCATTGTTGATGGCCACCTCGGCGCCGTCGATGTACAGCACCGAGCGGTCGTTGACCGGGTCGTCGATGGAGTAGTTCTGCAGCGGCAGCTTTCCCTCCACTCGGTAGAGGATGAAGCCGAAGTTCTGTCCAAGAGCTTCCATATTGGGCGCCCTTCCGCTGCTGGTCGAGTACTTCGGAACCAGTTTGAGCATCTCTGCAAAGGGCAGCACCTTGGTGAAGGAGAGGGCGAGGTAGTTCTTTGGGTGAACGTACGGGGGAACGTCGGGAAGTCGGGTCCTGGGGAAAATGCCTTTAGCGACCGCCTCCTCGTAGACTCGCCGAATCATGTGGTACTTTCCGGTGTAGTTGCCCCACTCGGTGAGGGGGCTGTTGAAGTTGTACGAGGTGGTCACCTA